GCATCACTGGGGCCAGGCTCCTGGGGCCGGGGGGCACGGCTGTGGGCATCACCCTGTGCTCCTCACCCCCCTGGGGGTGCGGGGGGGGTGTCAGGGTCTGTGGGAGACCCCAGCTCCCAGGAGGGTGTCTGGGCCAGCGCATCACCGGCTGGGGATCACAAACCTGCCCAGATAAAATAAGACCTGACCCTCCCAGGAGGGTGTCTGTGCCAGCGCATCACCGGCCGGGGATCACAAACCTGCCCAGATAAAATAAAACCTGACCCCAGCTGGCGTGAGCTTTCCCCTCCCGACAGGCAGGAAGGTGGTGGTGAGGCCAAGGGCTTAGAGACCTAATCCCTGAGCCTGGAAACCGCCGTCTGCCCTGCCCGCTGTGCTTCAGGTTGCCCCTTTGGATCACCAAGACTGCGAGTGTGGAGCTGACCCTCCTGCTGCAGCAAAACCAGCCCAGTTCTTCCAGAGGGTCTGTGGGACCCCCAGGCAGGTGAAGGACAGGGCAGCAGCATCTCCTTGGTGCCCAGCAGGAGCTGCTGGGGTTTGCCCTCACTGGTTTTATCTCTGTCCCCTCCCCAGCCAGCTTCAGCCTCTCCTGTCCCCATTTTGGTCACCCACTGGACAAGGACCACAGCAAACTGGCACTGCTGGATTTCTCTGAGCTCCAGCCCTCAGGAGATGCACCAGGAACAGGCTGTCCCTTCCCTTCCCTGCCCATGCCACCCACCCACTCCTCACCAGGCTGTCGGCACAGGTAGTCACGGGAAGTGGGGTTAACCCCCCCACAGTCCTTTATCTGGGAGTGCCCCAGAGCCAGGAGCATCTTCAGGGACCACTTGCCCCCTCCTCTCCCTGGCACGTGGCTCCCAGGGCAGCCAGGACCTGTCTGGCTGGGGAAGAGGGGCAGGATGGGGGGCACCCACTCGGGCAGCACTTCGGAGAGGGGAGCACTGGGCTCCTCTTGGCAAGGTCTGCAACAAGAAACGTGTCCCGGGGTAGCACCCCTGAGCTGGGGACAGGATGGCACCAGGGAGGACGGG